ATATATATATTTATATATATCAAAACACATCAAATTGCCTTACCTAAAGAAAATACAATTATTGGAAAACCAGGGCCGGGTTTGATCAGCTCCTGCCACGCTGTAGATGGATGTATATTTTTTACCAACGTTGCTGGTTTTTTTTTTTTTAGCAAAAGAGAATTTTATTCACATAAAGGGTAAAAGAGGTACTCCACCCATTTCAAATGTGAGAGAAAATAGCTTCCCATAGCAAGCGTCCCTGGTGCTATATATATATTGTTTGAATTCATTTTGCTTTCATTGTATTGCCAATAATTTATTGGTTTAGATGAAAAAAATTCAATTTTTCTTAATCTAAATATCAAATTCGAATCTTACAAATGAAGAAATAAGTATCAAGAAAACTTCCCTCATGAGATTAACACAGTTCGATTCTGGATTAATTGAAATATAATATAACTTTTAGATACTAAAATGTTACTAAAAAAATAAAATGAATAAATTTAGAATTTTAAAAGGTAAAGCCTCACACTCAAGAGAAAAAATAGAGATCTTTATACAGATTAATCATTTGATGTGAAAACATAGAGGTGTTTATATTCAATTAATCTTCATTTTACTCATTTTTATACTGTGTCTAATTTTCTCGCCTTTTTCTTATCATCACCACAACATTTAATAAATAAAAAACAAAAAAAAATCCTAAAATAATTTGAAATAAGGAATTTAAAAATGAAAAAAAAAATAAAAATATAAGTAAGAAGACCAAGATAACTTTTATTTAAAAGTTGAAAACCTTATTTTTATTTTTTCACAAAAGCTTAAGGGACTATTCAAGAAGTATGTTCCCTTGTGAGTGTGAACTAAGATCCCACATTGAAAAAATACAGAAAGAAAGAGTGGGTTATATATGTGAAGACCCATTGAACTAAAAAACTAGTCTTTTGGTTCCAATATAGTGTCAAAACATGTAATGGACCTCTCAATGTCACCCTGCTAAGTCGTTTGTCTCCCCAATAAGGACTATACTTCCCTTGCCATTACATGGCTCCACTATGAATTACTAAAGATTGGAAATCAAAGAAAAAGAAGAAAAGTAAAGAATCATAGTTGACACACGGAAGCTAAGTTTGAATCAATACAACATGCCATGGAACAACAATGTGCCACTAAAAGTCTTTGCATTTGTGTGGGAAGCCCTTCAAAACAGAGTACGTACATGAGATAACTTTTTGAGAAGACAAATACCTAGAACAGATATTGACTTTTCAACATATTTTGTGGAAAATTACCTAAAACAGTAACTACATGCAACAACTCATAGGTATGATTTACAATGTTAAGTTGAAGGAAGCATGGTGTGTGGTATGGTTTTCAGTCATGTGTAGTCATGTGTGGTCTATCTGGTTATGGATAAACCAAATTGATCTTTAAAGAAGGAACTGACACTCTAGATACTATTGTGGATTTAATAGAGCAACATTCTCTAGGTAAGGGCTAAGCTGAATGGATAACTGCCTAAAGATCTTTGATTTAAGAATCCCATGGAAGCATGCACAAGCAAGGGGATTGACTTGGGAAAGAAATGCAAATTGTTTTGGGATTGATAGAGTTTTACGTAATATAATTATTATCTGAGATAATTTAATGAATTGGAGTATTTCTTATACTTTTATTTAAATTTATACAAATATTATTTTATTGATTGATAAAAATAGTATTTCTTTTTAAATTTAAACAATTAAAGTGTTCTTAAATTAGTTTTAAAATCATAATTGGGTTGTAAAGAAGAAAATCCCAATTTAATGGAGAGGGAGAAATTTCGTGACATATATTTTTATCATCAAAATATTTTTAAGATCAATTTTTACATATATATTTAGATAATCTTTTTTTTAACAACAAAAGCAAATAAAATTTTATCATAAGGAACACAAGGG